GAGCGAGGTCCCCGCCGACCCCCAGCGGCCTGCCCGGGCCGGGGCGCTCCCAGGTACGGAGCCGCTCTGGGGGACCCCGTTCTCCTGGGCCAGAGCTGCCCTGCGGCCCTCGGCGCGCGTGGAGGACCGGCACGCCGTCCTCTGCTTCGCCCGCGTTCCCCGAAAGCGTTCCCCGAGGGGCCGGGTTGTCGCGGGGTGGGGGTGGGCCCGGATCGGGTTTGGAAGGTGGCTGCTGGAATCCTTTGTGCGCCCCGGCGGGGGGAGGGGCCGCTGAGTGGTCTGCGAGTTCTGCGGGCCCGGGAGGAAGTAAAGATCACCTTCCCCTCCCCAGCTCTGGCTAGGGAGGCCGTAGGGTGAGTGATCACCTCTCTTTAACCGACTCTAAAGAGGAAAACATCCAAACCCTCAAATGTTCATTAGGAAGCAGATTTGTGCAGAAATGAGCTGAAGCAAGTCTATTGTTCCTCTTTGCAGACCCTCTACTTACACTGGCGATAACCTTAGATTTCATGATGGCTCTGGTTTAACTCTTAAAGCCATCCCTTTCTAGGTAACTTCATTATGCAGGTAGTTGTTATACAAAGGAACGAATGCATCTCACCCTCTTTTTTCCCTTTCTTAGAACAAACGAGGCCCCTGAGAGCTCCACCTAGTTCACAGGATAAAACCCCGCAGCAACAGCAGCAGCAGAACTCGGAGTCAGCAATGGCTAAACCCCAGGTGGTGGTAGCTCCTGTATTAATGTCTAAGCTGTCTGCCAATGCACCTGAATTTTACCCATCAGGTTATTCTTCTAATTATACAGTAAGTGCACCTTTTGCTCAACTGGAGGTTCATGTTGCTGGAGTGATGTGGTTATTACTTTATTAATTATAGTCTGCTGGTGCATTTTGTATTACATATGAAAACATTATGTACTCCTTGAACTTGAGAAAGCAACTGATTCAGGAATATATTTTGTAGTTGTTATATTTGAATATCAGAATATAAGCTTGTTCTTGTCTGTCTCCTTCACTGCTGTATTCCCAGGATCTATAGAGTCTCTCAAAGCTGATGAAAATAAACTTGATTTAGCTAAGGAAACCTTCATCTGTAAAACTAAAATTTGGTCTCAGGATCTATGGACAGCTTATAAAAAATAGTGACCCAACAAATTTTATTTTTCATTTTATTTTAGCAAGATAAATGATTATTTAATAATGGCTTTGGTAAGTTACAGTTTTGCTGTAGACTAATTGAAGCAGGTTTTTGAATGTTGAGAAATCCCATGTGGGCTCCTTTACGTTGAATGGAAGTGTTTTCTGTTCCAGTTAAATACTGAGTGCAGAAATGCTGTTTGGGGGTATGATAAAGTCTTTACATAGGCTTAACATCTTTGTCAATAAGAATTTTAAAAGTAGGTCACATTTAAATAGCAAGAGGAAGTATGAAATGTGGTTTGTGTAAATAGGTGTGCTAAGTAGATATAAAGCAGTTATTGTAGAGATGTGGGGTAGGGACATGTGGAAGGAAGATTAATAATACTGACTTAAAATACGTAGTGTACATAAAGGTTAGCACAAAGTTTCAGAAAGTGAAAACTCGAGCAACTGACATTCAAATCAAGAAAAGGCTATCTGCTCATTACTGCTCTCCAACAGTAACTAACGTTTTGATTTACAGTTTTGCCTGCTTCCAAAGTTTATATTAATGGGGTCATACCTGATAAATCTCACTTTCAACATGGAAGCCCTGTGTAGTTGGAGGTGACTTATTTTCATAACAATCCATTGTGTCCCATTTAGGCTTGGCAGCTTTTCCTTTCAAACTTCTGAGTAGAGCTGCTGTTCTTATCACTGTCTTGGAGGATATGTGCTCTTTTCTGTTTGGTATATGTCTAGGCGTGGAATTTCTGGGAGAGAGAGGTAGCTAACTGATAGAAACAGCAAAATGGTTTTCCAAAGAGATTGTGCCAGTGTACTCTGAGTAGTGTGTGATTTCCAGGTTCTCTCCTTCATTGTCAGCACTGTTTTGCTTAAAGTTTTAGTCTTTCTGGTGGGTGTGTCATATCTAGTTGTGGTTTTTATTTGTATTTACCTGGTAACTACTGGGTTGTGAGGGTTTTTTTTTTTTTTGCTCTTGTTTTCCTATCTTACTTTATAGAAAAGGCTTGGAAAAGCTGTATTCCATATAGACATTCCATGCACCTTTGATTATTTTAGAAAATAACTTTGGGGCCATAAAGTAATTATCTCATAGCCTAAGAGGAGTTGATTTGGTCATCAACCAAGTGAGGTCAAAAGAGTCGTTGACAAACTCTTAAAAGAAACTTACCTTCTAATAGCTATAAATAGTTCTCCTTCGTCTTCTGTTAATTTGACTCTTAGATAGGAGAGGTGTAAATTTTTTGATAGTTCTAGACAATAATTTTTACACAAGATGATTCCTGGGCTATGAAGCAGCGTAGTGAACCTTGTTACTCACTTTGAGGCACTGTCATTTTTTTGGCATTCTTTGCTGTCTTCAAGTAGATCACTTCCTTCTAGGAAAGACTGTAATCTGGAAACCTGTAGCTCATGCAGGTGTGTTGTCTTTGCTCAGTGTTTTTTTGTTTGTTTGTTTTATATGTTTTCCAATCACCAACATTTAACTCAGATTTATTTTTTTTCTGATTTCTTTTAAAATCATAAGATCTGGCCATACTTGGCTGTTATTTTAATAGAGCAAAAATTATCAGGAGTTGAACAAAGAGGCAGCCCTTTAGCTAACGTGAGCTCTAATTCATTTGCTGAGTTCATTGGTTTGTAATCCGGCTGTATTTTGTAAGCATCAGTCTTATTACATTCAGTCTTAATACATTCTCCGGCCTTACTCATTTACCCTTTTATCCATATCAAGTCAGAGTTCTCAGTTCTCAGTCCATCTAATCATAAAATTACAGAGCCTTGCTTTCCCCTTAACATTAAGGATATAATCTTACTGTGAGGGAAACTTACTTGAATAGCAAAGATAATACATATTTAGCTGTGTTTACTCACTTTTCCTGAGTCAAGCATGGGGAATAGAGCAGAGAACAAATTGAACCATAATTCCTGCCTTCATTGACCCTCCAAGTGGCCCCTGACTTGATTTCTAGAAATTCTTTGCATTTTTATTCGACATGTGAAAATCTGTTGTTTGATAACCCTTTAACTAGGTTTCCCTTAAGAATGCACTTTTTCTAAAGTCTTTATAATAGCTTAAGATTTATTTATTCATTCATACAGAATTGGGGTATAGGCCAGAGATACGGAGGGTGGGAGAGCCACCAGAGACGAGCAGGGAGCAGAACAGGCAGAGTGACGAAGTACACTGCTGAGGGGAGCAGCGGCCGGTCAGGAGAGGTCTGCCACACCATGTGGTCACCTCTGGGGCAGGTGGGGAATCAAACTCATGTGGAAGT